GTTCAATTTGGCTCACAAAATCAGAATAAGTTGCCACTAATAATTCTTTCCTGCAGCAGCCATTGAGCTGTAGCGGGCATTCACAGGGCATAATTAATACTGCCTGTCATTAAGATGCACCATCTTTCTTATATTTCTTTTAATTACTTTGTTTTGATGTTTCTCATCACTCATCAGCCGGCAATGGCACGGCAGGATAGATGTGTTTGTAAAAGCAAATGGTGACTTAGGGATGGTTGTTAACATTTCATAGAATTAGTTTGTGAAATGAGCTAGGTAATCGCCTTGGCCCCTGCAAGACTGAAACTAAATAGGAGCAAAGTTCAGTAAATGGGATTAATTCTGTTCTGCATGCCAACTTTACACACTTAAGTAATTTTGTCTTACATGTTTATAGGTTTTTAAGACATTATGATACCTCTAATTTTGGCTTGGTTAATTCTCCTGAACAATCCATGAAAATAGATTGATGGTAGTAATGACTAAAGATTTTAACATATTATTTAATTAAGGAAGCATTTCTTTGCCTCTTTCCCCTGAGGTTTTTTTCAGGCTTCTCATTAACATTGCAGCATGATAACTTCAGGTTGATCAACCAACAATTGTCATCTCTAATGGTGCAATGCTGCCATTTTTCTCATGTTGTGTTGCATTAACTCCACAAATAATCCAATTCAATTGCATTCGGTTGGATTATTCAATTAAATAGCCAGCACTGAAGTTGGCTGAGTATCAATCTCAGGAACAGCTTCCCAATCATCTGAGCATGCACTTACTTAGGACCTGATCCTGCAACAGCTAATTTGTCTTGAACTACATGTGTGAGATTTATCCATGAGGTAGTTTGTGTGCATAAACACGTGCATAAATCATTGTTCGATTAAGGCCTTACACAGTGCAACTAATGAAATTAATTTACTTGTCCTCCTTTACATTCATAGGTATTTGTTTCTCTTAATAGGTATGTGTGATTTTTATGGGCTAGTTTTGATTATGTTTTAGACTTAGAAAGATGTTATTTCATGTGGCTCCGTCCTCTGTAACTCCTTTCAGGTATATTTTCTTTATGGTGGTATAAGAGTGCTTACATTTTTGGAATGTCTTCCCTGGCATTTGACAACTTTTAGTTCAAGTTTAATAGGTAACAGGTTTAATAGTTTAATTAAATTTTCTAATGTGTGTTCACAATGCTGTGTATATAGACAGCTTTTAATGCAAAAATATAAAAAGAATCACTGTACACAAAAAAGGTATTTTTTACATAGATCTATAGAGCAATTTAAAAGCTATTTTGCCTGAAAAGAAAACCATATGCAATTCCTAGATTTCCTTTTGAGGAAAAAAATGCATGTAGACACTATTTGCCTTTTCCAAGAAAAATTGTTTGTAGCAGACATACTCAAATGGAAAGACAATTATAGAATTCAATACATATAGTTATATTTTTTCATATGCATATATGTTGTTTTATTTTATTTGAAATATTGATGTCATAAAATGTACCCCAGAACTCTATATTGGCTAGTATTACATTAACCAAAGGTTTAAAAAATAAGCTAAAATAAGCCTTGCATTTCTACTACTACAAAAAAAAATTGAAATTAATTTGAATCTCAAAAAATTGCAGTAAAAAGAACTGCAACATCTTTGACATGGACAGTGTGTGTATGTACTCAATATTTTGTTCACTGTCTTGTAGCATTGGTGTTTAATCTTGTATTGATATATTGGCTTGTCTGTTTCTATGCACATGTGCACATACCTGCACTTATTTTCAAAAATTTGTCAGTGATAACTTAAATGGAAATATTCCTAGGAGTCTATCTCACATGATACTTATGTTTTGTTTGGGTTCAACTTTATGTCCTTTCCACAACTCCTGACCTTTTATGTAGGCTATTTTTCTCTCTCTCACCCCATGAGCTTTATCCCCATAAGACTTTTGAAGTTTTATACTTTCAGATCTCTAACAAAAAATAACAGGGGAGACAGAAACAATTGGATAAAATGTCACAGATATAATCTAGTCCCACAGAACTTTGATTTATGTGTACTTAGTCTTTAGTTTTCAAGTGTATATGACTTTTTACACCTCTTCCTTTATCTTCAGCAAATATTGGATAGATCTAAGTCACATTTGCTAATTGCAAATGTTGTTATAGGTTTTGCCATCTGAAAACTGATAGAAGCTTTATATTCTGAGCTGAAAAAAAGTGTCCACAACATCTATAGGTGCATATGGTATTGCTATAAACTAGTATTTACAATATTGTAGTCTCTAAGCATTCTGTATATTGATTTATGTAACTGTAGAACATGACAGTATCTTTCCCTGAAAATCAGGATTTTCAAGAACTGAGGGTAATGCAGTAATTAATGTATTGTTCTTTAAGGCATGTTTCTGTCTTTATATGTATGTATATACAAAAAAAAAAAATCTGGTTTTAAATATATTTATATTTTAACTAATGTTAGACCTACAAATTCATTCTTTCAGGTTAAAAATACCAATAATATTAAAAAAAAAAAAAAAAGTAGTTCTAATCACCAAATATTCCTGAGACAGTCTCCAGGCTCACAAGTATTGTTGTTATGGATGTTAAAGCCAACAAAAGCTGCCCTGACATACCAAAGATTTAAGTTTTGTCAAGGAAGGAACACTTTCAATGTATTTTAAAAAGCGTAGCACATCTTGTTTTGCTACATAAAGCTATAATGTTTCAGCATATAATGTACACTTCATTTCCCCTTAGACTCCCCATTATCAGCTTATATTAGGATTTTTGTTTTCCTCTTGACAGCTGTCATTAGTAGAGAAGTCAATGGGCTCATCAGCAAACTAGCTGATGAGTGACTCTATTGCCCCAGTTTTACTGGAGAACAGGCAAAGGAATCACGTGCATTTAACTGCACTAGGAATGTTTTTCTACTAGCATTGGAGGCTGGAGGCTGAATTTAGACAGATACTGATGCAACTCCCAGATGATATTTTCTCCCTGTGGGACACCATGCTGAATACCTTGCCCTGGATCCCTGATGGGAGTGGCAGAAATCATACCTTTCATGCTACTTATGGCAGCTGTAAGATAATGACTGAGGAAAAGTCACTGATACGGTGTGGGGAGCTTTGGTGATTTTCTTGTTGTTCTTTGCACAGCAGGCATTAGGGAAAATGTTTATCAGGAAAGAAAAACCTGAGGGTTAAACAGAACTAAGGAGAAATTCAAGCATGTTTAAGCAGTTTTCTCCCAGGCGTTGCACCAGCTCTTGATTTGCATACCTCTACCAAAATTAAACACTGATTTAAATTTAGCAATCTTTTGTACTCCTTATTTAATTCTGAACTCCTGACTTGAGAATTATTAATAACATTAAATATTAGTCTTACTATGCTAGATGACTAGTAAATGGAAAAGATGTCTAAGAGGTCTTATGATTACCCTTAGTGGAAACGTTTCACATAGTTAAAAGGTACAAAAGACATGCTAATATTAGAATCCTGTAGAGGAGCTATCTAATAAAGAATAAGAATATTCAATATAATACCAAATAAAATGAGATGCAAAAAGGATCTAATACTAATTGCTTTTATCTCTAAATTACTAAAATAGTTACAGTCTAGAGAAACAAGAATCCTATTATTTCTAATTTATTCTATAACAGATAACTGCAATGGTTTAGAGATAGACAGAGGTATTTAGTTTTAGGATTGGTAAATCCTTACTGGCATTTTGGATTAGCTAAGAGTGAGTACATGCAGAAACACAAGTGACTTGACCTAATGGAATTGAAGGTGTTTAATTTAAATAATGGGATGAACATCAGTGGATTTCACTTGTTAGACCTCTATTTATAACGATTATTTGGAACATATAATGATATATTAATGAAGATTGTAGGCATCAAATTAGACATAAATTGAATTTTGTTCATTAAAATTTATATTCTTTCTAGATTGCACAATAGACAGTATAATATGCATTTGGAGTGATTTGTTACTGCTATAAGTTCTAGTATCATTTTCAAAATCCTATTCATTGATAATAAATAATTATTTAATTGAATCTCTTAGAAAACCTTTTGCCAGTAGTACCTCACTAAGGATGCCGAAACTGAATTGCAGAAGCAATGGTTCTTTGCGTTGTTTTTCATTACTCTATCATGCAGCTTTCTCTTTTATCTTTAGCAGATTCCTAGTTTAGGTAGTCTAAAGTGAAAGTGTGTAAATGTGGAATTAGCGTCTCATTTCAGAGAGCAGTATAATTAGCACTTCTAGATTTCCTTGCTCTCTTTTTCTTTCCTGGCACAGTGAAGGACCTTTTTCAGGGATTAAGGAAGGCATTACTTCATGGATGTAACATGGTGTCTTGATTACATCTCATTTTATGAGCATGCACTCTGCTAGCACATGTGCAATGGCACTGTAATTCTTCAGACACTAAATGGGCTTTATTGACAGATTTCTCTGAATATTATTATTATATTGAGTTTATGAGGTAGAGCTTTTCTTCAGTTATATGTCTGTTTGAAATTGATCTAAACCACACCTAATATCTTTGCTTAAATCTCTATATGCAAATGAACAGCAATCACAAAGTTCTCTTAAGTTTTTCTAAAGCAGATTTTTAACTTTCTGACTGAGCTTTTAAACTGGAAAAACTAAATCCTCCTGTCAAATTTGGTTAAGAAATTGAAAAAAAAAAATTGATGGACTGCAGAAGCAAACAATTTATTTGCATAAGATACTTTTGTGGGGAAAAGGTTTTACTGACTATTTTTGTCCAAGTAAGTGCTACTCCATTGTCAATTTTCCATTTTCCCTTCATGGAAAGGAGTTCCTGCTTTTTTTGGGAGGACAAAAAGATAATTATAAAAAAACCTTCTCTGTTATTGTGGGCTAACTGTGATTTATTACTATGTATCTTTTACTGTTCTGGGTTTCTCCAGAGCACAGAAAACATGGAAGAACATAGTTTATAAATGTGTATTTTCAGTCTTACCATGGGGTTTCATGCATTCCAGCTGGCAACACATTAGCTTCTGATTTGAAAGCCATGACCTTTGTTCCAGTTCACTTCTTAATTAACTGCATGTCCTGAGATTAGTTATCTCAGATTTCCTTCATATAATCTAATACAATGAAAAGACATTCTGTTATCTCTAAATTTGGGGCTAGATCCTTTAAAATTATATTTCTGAACTTTACCTAAATTTAAAGTAGGTTTGGTTTTTTTTGTTCAGGATTTTTTTTTAATTATATCTAATCAATATATAGAGTAGAATTATAATTTTTTTGTTTTCACATGAAAAATCTTCTAAGTGATAAGGGTATATAACCCTTACTGAGAGACTGGAATGGTGCCATTTTTCGTGACTTGAAATTCCAGCTGATCTTGGGTTTAGTCAATAGATGTGATAGAAGTCTTTGTATCTGCATGTGTCCTCACTGAAGGAGACAAGGTTTGGCTTGTGGAGGTCCATTGATAGGAATTCAGCAGGAGTCTTGGCTATGGCCTTCTGTACATAGCTGGTACATAATAAAATAATTTCATTAGTCTTTCACGCATGTAAGCAATTTATTCACAGCTCTACAAAAACCTGTAAATATTTTAAAGAAATGTATATTTGTACCTGATATTCAAAAAAAAATATTTCCAAATGAAAACATTTAGAAAATATTATCCCAGAAGGGTGCCAAGAAAAAGCAACCTTGCATTTTCTAATGTGAAGGGAGCTGACTGGGTGAATTAGAGCTTGCCACAGTGCTCTAATTTTTACAGCTCACATCTGAGATAATTTTCCAGTTTTAAAATTAATCTGTTTTGTACTTTTTGAGAATTTTGTAGTCATTTTGAGAATAATGTAGTAATTTTTCCTTAAATTACTCAAAATATAATCTTTTTCTTTAAAAACATAATATTTTTGAATTAATCTTGGAAGTTTAAAAGAATGTTTGAAACAGCTATTTGTTCAAGATCAAATAATTTCATATTTTGCACCTTGGAGGTTGTTATGAACTCCTGCATTTCCATTAAGTGATCCTATATTTCCTTCAGTCAATCCTATTTAACTATTCCAGTAATTAATTAAACCAAAGAACAGTTCCTACTGTGAGTCTTGCCTATATGCTTTTAAGTCTATGTATCAGAGGTGAGGATATGCTTGTAAAGTTTGGCATTTAATTAAGTTGTTTTGATCTGTTGTTCCTCTTTTTTGCACATATTAATTATTATACCTATGAAGTCTAATTCAATTGTTTAAGGTGTGTTGATGATTTCATAATAGAACAAGGCTTTGTTTCTTGTGTACCAGTGATATTGTGTAACTATGATCACAAGATACACAGAGCTTTGTAACATACAAGCAAAATATAGTCATGACCCACGTTTATAATTCTGATTATTTTCCTTGTAAAGTAAATGTCAATAATTTGAATATGTGAATTGATTTCCTTTGTGACAGTAACATTTAATATAATGGGACTAAGGTCAAAGCTTAGAGAAGGAAGCACTTCTAGAATTAAGAAAGAGATGAGCCCTACTTTTCACTGTGTATGATTTTTAACAATTTTTGCCCAGTTCATTTCAGTAGGATTTGCTGGAGGTCATAAATTAATATGGCCATTTGGAAAAATAGTTAATATTCTTCTATAAATAGATCTGCATCTGAAACCTCTTTCCTACAAAGAAACTTCATGCACTGGATGCAATTGTAATTTAAATCCTCTGGTAGTCTTGGTTTTGGTGGTTTGCTTCCCATTTCCACACTGAATTCCTCTCAACCCACAGGTATTCCCACCTATCCCACAGGTTAGTGAACCTGTTTGGAATGCATGACAGTGGAGAGTGTACACATCTTCTGAAAAATAGCTGTAAAAATGAATACTTCTTAAGAAATAGAAAATTTTTATCCAAATTGATGGAAGCAGATTAAGGCATATAATGCTATTCCATTAAGCAGCATAATCAGTAATTACACTGATTTTAAAAATTAATTCTCACTCCATTGAACTAGCCCTGACTCAAAATCATTGGAAGTTTTACTGAACATTTTCTAAGATGAAACATTCTTTGGATTGACTTTTGTTCGCCTTTAATAATGAATTCCATGAACTAACTAGAAAAGGACAGTGATAGGTCATAATTTACCCTGCGGGAGATATATTAATATGGAGTGAGTAAATGGTTTGAGATTTTTGTTATGCTTTGATCCATACTAACTCTTTAGTACCCATCAGGTTCACAATTAGTGTGCATTTTCTCATCTGTATGTGCACAGTTCTAGCCTTATTTCCAAGAGCTGGAGGGAAGGAATGCCCGTAAACCTCAAGCTCAAAATTTGTCTCTATCCTTCATGGAATTTGTCTTGTTTCCTTCATGATGTCTCGCCTATAAAAGCAAAGGATTTGTTTTTGTCTTCATTCACTAGAGCAGTTTGTTGTCCATGTCACTCAGTATGAAACTATATCCTTTTACCTTTCAGATAAAATAATACTGTTATTATTTTGGATGAAATAGCTGGTTGAATTTTTCATTATCCAAATGTACATGAGCTGTATTTCAAAGGGGCTAAGAGAATGTATTTGAATTTTTTCTTGGATGGAGGAGCTTCTCCACTATTTAGGATATTAATTTATGTAATACAGAAAAATTATTTTGATGTTGTAAAGTTTTGTTCCTTCGGTTCATTTGCATTGATGTTTAAAATTTTTCTAGTCCAGATAAAGCAGTCAATTACAGTGCTATGAATCCCTGGTTATTCTGGTAAACTACCGTAAACCTTTTCAAGTTTTACAAGGAATGCATTTTCTTCAGGAAATACTTTCTAAAGTGGTCTTTTTGGACTCTTGTGCATTTTAATATTTTAAGGATTATAAACTACTTTACAGTTGTTTTGCTTGAAGATAAAGGAACAATTTACAATAATGAGAGGATCTCTTCATATTCATCATAAAACATTCTCTGAGAAAAGTACTCTCTGAGTGGAATTCTCCTTATTCTTTGCTAATCTTGCATTTATTAATGTAGGGCTGCTGATGACTCCCATATGGGCATGGTGTCCTTTATACTTCAGATAAGTGCCACAGAGTAGACGAGGAATATTTTTCCATTATTTAGGTAAAAAATAGTGCCAAGAATTATTATTGTCTTGCTGACTTTATTAGAGATTTAGATGATAATTTGCTAGTGAGCAGACTTACCCTTTTTTGCTCATATTTTTATTCAGGCGTGCCTTGAATCAAAACTCTTGTGGAGGCATCATACGTGCCATAACCCTTATATGTTATATCTTTCTCCTTGCATGTAAGTATGTAGCCAAACTCTTAAAAGCTCAATGGAAAACCTTTCTGGGAGGCAGTAATTGGAAATACATTTCTACAGAGGCAGTTGTCCACTCCTAAGGTCTTCAACTGCATTGCCTCAAATGCAGAAGAGGCAAGGGTTTAAAGTCTTTAGTAGAAATATAATTGCCATTATTTTTCTATTAATGATGTTTTGTATTGCTTGCCTTGCAAACAAATGTGACCCTGTGAGTACTGAGAAAGTATTCATCTAGACAACTGACCACTGTTATTCTTATTTGAAAAAATGTGTGAAAGAGCAGCAGCAGGCTTGTCATCAGAAATGTAGTCACAGGGTAATTTTTCAATATAGAAATTATGATCTAATACAAGGCACAAAAGCTAAATTCTAGTGCAATGAGCAATGGTTGGATCAGCAATTTTTCATAATGGAGGAACAAACTGTTAAAAACAAAGAAAGCAATGACCTAGATATCGATCCTGTATGCATGAATCAATCATGTAGATGGTAAAAACCTCAGAATCTTGTTTATAGCATAACAAAGATTATTTATTCAGCTGCAAGAGCCTAAACTGCAATTCACATTTGGATATGCAGAGGTCCACAATGGTGCTTTATTAATATTCAAAATTACTATAGACAATGTTCAGATCTCGATATAGTTTCTTAAAACCTCACCTACCTAGACAGCCCTAGTTAACACAGCCCAGTGGATTTTCATGCCATTAAGGCTGCTTAAATTTTAGTTCTGTGCTTCCCCCTACTGCAATATTCTAATTACCCAATGACACTATTTACTGCAATCTCCTCCTCATACATTAGCTATGGGAGAAGTTTTTTTAACTGAAGAATTGTACTGCAAGTTTACAGATTAAACATGAATAAATGTAATAATTGAATATATTTTCAAACACTTTAGGACAACAAAAAACTGCCCTCATTTCTTTTATAAGTCATGTTTTTTTTTCTGTAAGTTCTCCAAGAAGGTCTCCACCTCTCACCCACCAACCCAAAAGAGCATGGCACACTCCCCCACATCATATGAACTGGTAGCACTTGCCTGCATAGCTGAGGTTTTTTCCATCCATTTCAGTCAGAAATCTGCCCCAGAGTACAAGCCAAGCCTTATGCTTCTATGGGATCTGCAGCAGCTGTAAGTGACACACATCTCTATGCTTCTGTAGCTGAGCTCTGTGGTGCTTCCCACAAATCTGCTTCCCTCAGATCAGTTTTAGCTGCTGTGCTTGGAGTGCCTGCAGCTCCATTCATTATGAGCAGTAGGGTCGTGGGGAGGAAGAGTATAAAGAAGAAACAAGTAGATTGATATGAGTGATTTTGAGAAGGGAGAAAAAAAATCTGCACAGCAGAGCATTTTAAAGCTTATTTTCTTGCAAATTTGTGTTCCCTCTTGACAAAGCACAAAAAAAAAATAAAAAAGGCATCAGATTTTAATAACACATGGTGGACTTAAGGAATTTCATGTCCTCTCCTTACCAGGTATAAGCAGCCATTTGTCCATGGTGGCCAGTTAGTACCCAAGCAAGAGATGTTTCGGAAGTGGAACAACTTACTTGCATAGATATTTAAGCAGATTGTGGAATTAACTGAAGATTTGAACACAATTCAGCCTATTGAAATAAATTATACTTCTCAAGACTGTCTTCGGAACTTCCTAATGACAAGAAAAACTGCATACAGTGAAAAAAACAATGTAAGTATACTTAGAAAAAAAATCAATGGACATTTAATATGTTCTTTCTGTACAGAGAACTAGAGAAGGTCATTGTGTATTAAATACAGTTGCACAGAGAAGGTATA